ACTTTTTTAATTAGTCTAAAAATATTTTTCTTTTCTTTTTGAAACAAAGCTCTTTATTATTATTAGTTTGATATTATACTATATCAAATAGGTACCTACACCAAGTTAAATGGTTTTAACGAGTGGTAATTAGGTTTACAACGCACGGAACGTTGCCTGCACCTGCCGTCGCGTCGCGTCGCAATATTAACTGCTGTGTGCACAATAAACCGCAATACTAACGAGACCACTTATTGTTACACTAATATTAACATTGCAGTTCTATTTGTTTTAAGGATTCATTTTCATTAAAAATGCTTACATCACATACAGCCTATAAATGCTTAATGCTGAGCAAAGCCTCTACTCACACGGAGAAGATGAAAATGCCCTACGAAATTAACAAAGTCAGTTCAACGAGAAAGATTTTTGTTTAAGGGCCTGTTTCACAATATCTGAATAGCCGCTATTTAACAGATAAATTCGAATTCAGAACGTAATTTATATGAACTATCTGTCACATAAGTTTATCAGGTACTTATATGGAGGTGGTGAGACCGGCACTAAGTGTCTGTTAACTCCTAATAGACGGATTTGACGTACTTATCTTCCATACTCATCATCAACAGCCTGTTTTCGTCCACTGCTGGACATAAGCCTCTCTGATGGCACGCCACTGAGCTCGCACATCTTCGCATCTTCACCACTACCAGCCACTTTACGTACATCGTCACTCCACCTAGCTGGAGGGCGCCTTACACTACGTTTGCCTAGACGCGGTCTCCACTCCAGAACACGTCTACCCCAACGCTCATCGGTTCTTCGACAAATTTGACCGGCCCACTGCCATTTCAGCTTGCTAATCCTTTGGGCTACATCGATAACTTTAGTTCTCAAACTTTAGTAGTCGGACCACTCGTTACGGATCCTATTCTTCAGAGATACTCGCAGTTTAGCCCTCTCCATAGCTCGCTGCTTGCTCTTCCATACTACATGTGTCAAAATATGCCAATTAGACTGCTTGTATGTTCGGGAGTGAAGAGGAAGAGTCATGTTACAAATGAATAAATCTAGTTTTTCTGCGTTTATGCGTGTGTTATTTCAGACCATAATCTATCCCTGTTCCAAATTTCACCCCAAGCCCGTCAGCCGTTTTGGTGTAATTGCGTAACAAACATACACACAAACAAACTAACACAAATTTTCACATTTATAATATTAGTAAGATAAAATTTAATTTTTGTGATACCCACATTGGTGAATACTTGTTTAAAATAATCCCCATTTGTACCACCTGCATGTTTATTTTCTTTATCTTAAGTTATTCTTGTTATACTTTTAGTGATACCCACCTTCTTAATTAATTACATATTTTAGTAGAAAACATTTCAATGTACCGCCCGCATGCTCATACTCTGTACTTTAATTTTAAGTTATCATGTTTTCTCATATCTTAAGTGAATTTTACTTAAATCAGATGTTATGTGCATTCAACATTTAGAATTTGGATGATATTACATAAAATCTATATTGAAACACGAAATAAACGGGCTAGCGCACATACATACAAAACATACAAAAATACTGCACTAACAAGCGAAGCAACTATTCAAAAGTTAGTTCTCAATCCAACAGAGACTTTACTTTAGTATGTTTGTAAATAATGGTTTTTCCTAAATGTTCCCATTCCAAAAGGGTAAATCTGCAACCCTTTCAAAAGTGCCTCCGTATATCATTGTCGTGATTATACCGTTTCCCCTCGGTTTCCTTTTCATTTCCAAATGTTTCTACGCTTTTATGAATGAAGTAACTTAAGGCTTGAGACAAATAGTTATTTATTTTGACAGTAACATGGAATCTGGCTAAACGCCAGCTGTTGTATACACCTGTGTTGTGTGCTTGCTTTTGAGAAAATCTAGGCCTAATATTAGGTATGTTAATGCATAAGATTCAATTACTCAAATGCATATACAGTTAGTAGCACCTATGTACTCGAATTTTATGTATGTGTTGTAGTCTGTGCTGTTTGTTTATTTATTTATTTAAACAGGTATACCAACAGGTTCTGTATAATAAAGCTAATAATAGCTTCTCTATGATCAAGGATTTTCTAGTGTGGAAAAGCCATGCTTCGGCACGAATGGACCGGCTCGACCGGAGTGATACCACGGCCTCACAGAAAACCGACGTGAAGCAACACTTGCGTTGTGTTTCGTCATGTAAGTGAGATAACTGGAGGCCCAATTCCCCCTCCCCTTCCCCAATTTCCCCAATCCCTAAACCCCCAACGACCCTTAAACTCCTAATCCCCAAAAGGCCGGTAACGCTCTTGTAACCAGTTCCAGGTGTCCATGGGCGATGCCGATTGCTTATCATCAGGTGATCCGTCTGCTTTACCGGCTTATGCCATAAAAAAAGAAAAGGATTATTAAATAAATAAAAATACAGATATACACATTGAAAGGTAGGTAAAAATAGTGGCGTAATAGACGTTGTCGTTGCACGTTAAGGGTTTTCTGAGTTAGTCTATTTAGAGAACATGGTGCCCATTACAAGTACTGATCATGGCCTTCAAGTTTTAGTTCGCACTAAAACCTAGTGAGAACTAATACCTGGTGGTCAGCATCAGCAATAAGATTTAAACCATTGTTTTCCTACCCAAAAAGTTAGACACATTTAAAATATCAGCTTTCCCTTCGTCAACAAAAAAAATTAAAGTAAACAGACTTGTCACAAGGTCACAAATCCTATACAAAGGTCCAAAAATGTTGAGAGTAGAAGATATATATACTCGCCGGGTAATTCCGTTCGTGTCATAAGTTGATTACATCATTTGTTTATATTCCCGCGGGGATTAAACTCGACCGAGAGCGTTTTGGTTAAATTCTCTGTTTTGGTAGGTCCACTGTCCAGCAGTGAGGTGTTCACGGACCCTTCATGATTATGGTAAGAAGGTATTTTTTTTTTTTAAGGGGGAAAATCATCCAGTGACTGCTCCCGCCTGGGTGAGGCGGGAGGGAGTGTCAGACTCTTACTGACTAAAAACCACCCCGTTCCTTCTCCTGCACGTCGAGTCGGAGCCCCGGTTACCCGTTAGGTTCTCCGCGACTCCGAATCGGCATCGGCCGTATTGGGCCCCATCCGTGGTGGTCTGATGGCTCTTTGAGGCGCGCGCGGAACGCGACGCGCCGTACGTTCGGGTCATAATAAGTAGGTATAGGAAAGTAAGTAAGTTAGGTTAGGTAGGTAAGTAAGTAGGACAAACGATGTTAGTATCAAAAGATGTAATGTTTAAATACATAATTCTGAATAAATCTCAAGAACTTTTTTCTGATTCAAGCTCAATACCATCAGGTGTATGTCATACCTGAAAAGACATGCACAGATTTGCCGTAGGATTCTATCTAATTGCATTTTCGTATTAAGTGAAAAACTTTATTAAAACCTCGGCAGTTTTTTCTTCTTAAATCTATTTGGTGGTTTGAAAATGGAAATGTATAATAAAACAACTTTGTTTATAGTAAGTAGTGTACCACTCAAGGGGACGTTCGCCCGCACAGGCCGCACACTTCCCGAAGATTTATTAATACAGACTAAAACTAGGCTCTGATGAATAATTTCGACAACCAACAGAAACACAAATCATCAATCATCATCACGCAAAATTAGTCTCTATACCCTTAACTAATCAATGACATGTATTCGAACATTGACTTAGAACTTCCTAGTCACTGCGTACGGTGTTGTTATGGGTCAAAGTTGATTGACACGGCAAGTATACAACCCTCATGATGTATTTACATTCTTGCTGACGACATATAACTTGTAGTGATGACAAAAGCGAAGCCATTGACGTAGGTTATACATGAGTTGAAAGGGGTGACGCGAAAATCAACTTTAAACGCGTCCTTTTTGGATATCCCGACACACGCACATAGATGTATGTGAGAGGGTGTGTGTGTGTGTGTGTGTGTTTTGTTGATACAACATCATAACAACGTGTTACTTTCATTCCTCTAATACCCGGGCCACACCAACGAGAAATGCCATTGCAATAATGCACGTTCACCGTAGGTGTAGCCACGAGTCAACACTATAATTTGACAACGGTATTCACATTGCTGTTTGGCATGATGGGCATTCACGTTGAAATTTCAAGTGTAGCCACCCCACTTTATCGCGTTAAAATTATCGCAATAATTATATCGTAGTAAACATCGCGACAATCGGCATTGACGTTGACGATAGTGTGGTCCGAGCATAAGAGCATACATTAAAGAAATGTGGTACCTACATTTCATATGTGATTTTCTGCTGTTATTGATAGTTTTAAACGGTTTTTATCTAGTTTGCCTCATTTGTTTGTTTCGCCCAATTTTAGTGATTGGAATTTCCTGTCCTACCTGACGGCAGATCGATCTGATATTTGGTACACACTTTTAATCTTGGTTACCATATAATGATACCAAATACTTGCATTAAGATTTCTTGCTCGTTCTTCTCCACTTGAATCGACATTTTGGAACAAGCGCCTAGCTTCACTGACGGACAGACTGACAGACTATTATTTATTTCATATTTTATGACGTTTCAAAAGTACCAGATTATGGTTTAATTGAATGAACTAATACTTCATATTAAAAAATAGGTACTACGTCTAAATAACCGTAGGTACCTATTCCACTTATCCCAAATAAACATACCTCTGCTATCAACAAAATAGTCACCGTGAACTTTTGAAAGAGGTCGGAAAGTTGAAAAAAAGGTACGTTCCTTTACGCTATGGGTTCCATGAAAATTCCAGAGAAGTAGTGAATGTTTTATGACGATATTTTCCTCGGGGACGGTCGTAACGCCATGAATTTGGACCAAATGAACTTATTTTTAGAGTTTCTTGCGGTTGAATAACACGTTTCATTGTTGTAAACAAGAATCCTATAGATATATGATGTAAGTAGTTGAATAATATTAACATCTTATTGTGTCTATGTTGGACACCAGACAAATAACAAATATCTTACCTGTACGATCCTCTATCCATTTAAAGAAGTTTTGCATCGACTTCAAGTTTTCCCATTATCAACTTTTTAATGACACCGACTTTCATTCTAAAGTCTTAATCGAAGAACAAATCACTTTTAAACTTGGACGCGAAAAAGCACTGATTTAAATAATTTGAACATCTATACGATCGATACATTATAACGAATAACAGAGTATTTTTCCAAACACGTGCCGTTTCATATTAGGCCATAAATATCTAAAAGTACATTCAAAACATTGGTTCGTACATAAATGATAAGCGACGCGATGAAGCCGCGCGCCGACACAAGCGCCTGCCACAAAACCCCGAGCAATACTGAATGAACGCTGAATTGCAAAATCTACACAGGCGCTGTACGTACCAACTTGTGATCGCTACCCGCCCAGACTTGAGACATAACGTTGATATAATAAGAGAAGAGTAGAAAAATAAGGCCAATCATTTTATTATCTTATAATCTTTAGATAAAAGACTCAAGTAACATTTCGAAAATGTCCTCTATATTAGTAAAGTGCCATTCTCATGTTTAGTAGGTATTAACATAAATAATATAAGTAGATAGAAAGAACAAAGCCTACTGCATAATCACTTTTCCAGTGAATTCAATTTCATGCGACATTTTGCTAATAATATATTATGTAGGCAGGCGTTCTCGTGGGAACGTTTGCAACTGTACATTTTGCAAAATACTAAATCGTTAAGTGAACAAGGCACTTATTAAGCCATTTTATATATTTATAGCTATACAAGTGTACATATATGGAGCTGTGTGTTGACAGTAGAGTATAATTCATTTGTTTCTATTGTTATTTTTTAAACAGTTACTCCTACTCTTCCTGAAATGTTTAGAGATTTATTTATTTACTAGCTACTTCCGCGCGGTTCCCACGCTCTGCTCAGCTCCTATTGGTCGTAGCGTAATGTTTTATAGCATATAGCCTTCCTCGATAAATGCGGTATCCAACACAAAAATAATTATTGAAATCAGACTTGTAGTTACGGAGACTAGCCCGTTCAAACGAACTAACAAAAAAATAAACTCTTCCGCTTTATATAATAGTATAAGATTTATTTGAATACAAGGTACAAATAACAATTACACGAAAAGAATAAATAAAATACAAATTTTAAATACTTAATTATTATTAGTTACTATCATTCATCCATCTCTTTCGCAAAACTTGAAGCATTCCGACAAAATTATCTTCTTTCACTGGAGAACACATCACACTCTAGCTTTGAGTCCAGAAATCGGTGTAAGAGTTTTATTGTGCGTGATAATGGAGATTTAGCTCCATTGCCTGTTCTGCAAGATGGTATGGCAAATAACTGGTGCTTACTGTTGCGACAGTAACTGTCAGGAGCAAAAACACAAAGAAACTCATTGTGCAGTTCAGGAGCATTGATACAGCCGTTAATAACTTTGTAAATTATTGTTGCACTTTCCGTCTAACTTTTAAAGAGTTATACCCTAAACAACCAAGTAAATATAACGAACCAAGTAGATGAGAACGGGATGTCCACATAGACGGAGACCGGGCATCAGTGCCCTTTGACACCTGAACCTTTAACATTGCGAATTCCAACGTCTCTGCCGAGGAGATTATGACAAACCTTCGTATGTATATATAGGAGGTACATAGCACAGCAATGGGTGTCACGAATTCATTTTAATATGTACCTACACATAGACGACGACACATAAAAGTATACAAAACCAATATATCTTGGACTCGCTTCGTTTGTTCTTTGCGCACATTCATCCGTCACCTTATACTGGATTTGTATAGTTTGATTTAAAACCCTGTGAACCTACATACATCGCTGTGTATTAATTTGTTTTGTTGTTTTGCTTTCTTACGTCACTACGACTATTAATCTTCACAATATATTCTCGGATCATTTGTACAGAAAATCTGGACGAAAATAGACCACTATTTTACTTTAACGATGCGAGAAATTGTACAAATGTAGGTAACTATTTCTCTCTAACTTTCTCCCTCGGGTTCGTTAGCATCTGGTCGCTTCCACTATTATCATTTCCAACATTTCTACAGCTTCAATTATGATTCATGTTCATAGACTAGTTTAGTGATTGTCTTTACATTTATATTTGATCTTGTCTTTATATTCTTGATCCTGACAATATTTTAGATTTTTTTTAAAATAAAACGTTGCCCCGCACTAGGACTTTCTCTTGTGTCGTGGGTGCGTTTACAAACATACAAGTTCACATACACAATGACACCCAGACCTGAAACAACAATTTGTGGATCACACAAAGCGTTGTTCCGTGCGGGAATCGAACCCGCGACACGTTGCACGGCAGCCGGTTGCCCAGCCACCGCACCCGGTTGGTGCAGTCTTTGTAAAGTATTTTGATATCAAGGATACACTAGGGGACAAATGTTACACAATATGTATCAGCGACATGTTCAACGAGGCCGGCTGATTTCATCTGACTTCTGACTTATATGGCATCAACGCGCGACTTATGTCTACTGCGACGTGTTGCTAGACATGTCGACCAAAGTCCCGCAACGTCGCGCTACTTGGCCCAACGTCGCTGGCAACACGCGTCACAGGACATTTGTCCCCTAGTCTATCCTTGGCTTAACGAATGAATGATACGATTGCCACGCCGGCTGAATGGTCGCAAGTGCTACTGCCGGGCAAGGTTCGATTCCAGCATCGTCGGGCAAAGCATTATTGGGTTTTTAAAAATTCTCAGTAGTAGCACGGTGTCTGGAATTGTGCCCGGAATATGGCAATAGGCTCACCCCCTATTACATTGTACAGTGGCATTAAGTGCCGTAATGTGCACCTCTGCCTACCACTTTGGGGATAAAAGGCGTGATGTTATGTTATGTTGTGATTATACGATGAAACTAACTTGTAACGCTCTATATGTACAAATGATAGATAGGTACATGAACATAGAACTGCTTATTATAATATCAGTAATGAAGACTAAGACACTGTCTATCATAATACGAATTACTAAGTAAACATGAAATCATATTCGTTGTATGAAATTCTATCATTATGAAGTAGTTTCATATAACGTATAAACGAACCTATTTCTGTACATATCTATACTAATATTATAAAGAGGAAAGATTTCTACCTATTTTTGTATGCTTATAATGAATAGGCTCAAAAAGTACTGAGCCGATTTAAAAATTCTTTCACCAATAGAATGCTACATTCTTCCAATTCGACATAGGCTACATTTCATTTTGAAAAAAAAATATTGTCTACCCTGTGCGAAGCCGGGACGGGCTACTAGTTTATACATAACTTCGCTTAAGTATATTAGGTGAAAGGCTCGGTGAATCTAGCCACTTTTTCTAGTATAAAACTTTCAGTTAACAATATCGAACACGAAAAAGAAATCTAATTTAGTGCAGTCATTCGGAAGATATGACGCGGACAGATATTTTAGGGATTGTTTTATATTAATAGAATCCACAGATAAGATAATATTTTCTTTGATCTAAAGCAAATGTTACAGGTATGCTTCGTAAGCGAACAAAGGCCAGGACATTGCCCCTGTTCCTTTATAAAAACAAAAAGTTTTGACATCGCAGCGATTAGGATCAGGAAGAATTTATTCTTGTTAGTTCCGTGTGTTGTTTTTAGTTCTTAGGAAAAAGAAGAAAAATATTTGTACTAGGATAATGATATATTTTATGTCGATAGTTAGGTAAAGAATAAATGGTGACATTCAACCAATCACATGTATCGTACGTGTATAAGTAAACAAGGGGTTCCTTCCAAAATTAAATAACTACGAGAATCTATAACCTGATTGTCTATAACGACCGAGTATATATGTGCCGTGATTCATTGTAGGCCACATCGTCACTTACCACTAGCCGAGATAGGGGCTAAACACCGACCCATTGCCAATAAAAATATTAAGAAATGCAAACAAGAATTCTAAGGTAAATTAATTATAATCTTTTGGGCTTACTCACGTAACAGTTCGACGAGGAATCAGACTATTTTCAAATATAATGCCAAATGTTATTCGACTATATTCAATTCATGTCCACGTGAGTAAGCCAAAAACATAATAATTAATTTAGTATGTCGCACGAAAGATTATACACAAACAAAGGATTCTAGGGATTTTACTGTACTATATACTTGTAATTTTTATAATAACTATCGTGAGACATATTAAATTAACTAAAAATCGCGAGTTACTCACGTGAATACTTTAGTGATCCGCGCATGCTGCTCATGAGGAAGAACCCCCTTGTGCTTCGAAACTAGTAGAGCTTTTCTCAGTATAGATATTCACGTGAGTAACCCGCGATTTTCAGTTATTTTTTTTGCACTTATTCAGCGTTTAGTTACAGCTAGGTTACAGTGGTACCTAACGGGTAACCGGGGCTCCGGCTCGACGTGCAGGAGAAGGAACGGGGTGGTTTTTAGTCAGTAAGAGTCTGACACTCCCTCCCGCCTCACCCAGGCGGGAGCAGTCATTCGATGATTTTCCGCCCTTAAAAAAAAAAAAAAAAAAAAAAGTTACAGTGGTCATGGCAACAACTACTTAGGCACTCATAAACTGCATTTTACAGCTCACAGTCAACAAATACTACTAAAAATATTTTATCCAATTCAGATAATCATTCACTATCTAACCACGACCCACACATAAATACTCAGTGTTGTTCACAATACGCATAAATCTGATATATTTGGTTAGTATCGAGCGGTGAACAAACAATCTACCTCAATGAAATGACGTCATACTAGGCGAGCTTAATATTCGGCTTTGTACCCGGTTGCCCGAGTATCGATTGGATGAGCCTGTTGCTCTTATCCGGAACCCGGGTACAGCTGATGTTAACTATTCAAAGGATGAATGTAATGGAATTAAAGTGATGTGGTGATGGGTCTGTAGGGCTTTATGTATGTGTCTTTTTGGGTGTGTTTTTGCTTACTATGATAGACCTTATAGCAATAATTATAAGCGATTTATTGTTTTGTAACTTTTTATGTTTTTATATTCAATTTTTATTTTCATATGACCGGATTTGACTACAGTTTGAACTAACTCTGTGTGTTCGTAATAAGCGTTTGAACATAGAATGAAACGATAAATATTTTATCATTGACGTTGCGGTTTAAATTGCAGCAGCAGGTTAGTTCAGAGAACTATACAGTAATGAGGGGTGTAACCCATGGGGGTCACCGGTGACCGACGTTAACGGAGGACTGTTGACTGAAGGCAATTCCTCAATTGCCTTAAACAGTTT